AATTGATTCTCCAATTATTCAGTTTGGCTTTGTTAAACAGTTGATAATTTCCCTAACCCTTCGTTTCCTCAATTGTAATATATAGACAACTGTTATTTTTTAACTTTGAAGAGTAAGTGTTAATATATGTACAGTTAAAAATACACAGCAAATGCTTGTACTTTACAGTGGAAATCTGTTCAAAACTGAATAATCAAAAGGATAGAAATCTTATATTATCTGCTTATTCAATATGTGAATTTTCTGAGGTTTCCAGAACTCTCTTACAATGAAAGTAGAATGTGTTCTTCCCTGAAAACAAGGAACAAAGAGGGAGGTCATGGGTAGGGGAAAGCAGGTAGCCAGGAGCACTCTGCCATTAGATGGTGGCTCCCTGTCGGATGTGGTCATAACTCTTTTTCTGACAGGCAAATCCATATCTCTAGAACTATAACAAATGGGGTTTTTATAGTGTCAAAGTGTTAAAGTGTCCTGTATTATCATTTTATGGATTAGTGTGTACATAATATGGAAAACATATTTATACTAGTAGTTATTATCCTCATTTTTTAAAATATTTATTTTTTAGTTTTAGGTGGACACAATATCTTTATTTTATTTTTATGTGGTGCTGAGGATCGAACACAGTGCCTCGCGTATGCCAGGCAAGTGTGCTACCACTTGAGCCACATCCTCAGCCTATTATTCTCATTTTGATAATATAGATTATGATCTCACAAATTACATTCCTGAGGAAATATATGCATTTAGATGGATAAAGCAATTTTAAGTTAGAAACTTTTAATGCTCACTATGTTTTGCCTACATAATATTCTCAAAAGGCATGTAGATTTGGACTTCCAGTACTCAAGCTAAAAATTACTAGGAATTAATAACAATAGCTAATAGTAACTAATACTAGTAACTATAAGTTACCACTAGTCTTGTTTATATAATATTCATAATATAAATAAAAAGTATCCATTTTATATTCATAATATAAATAAAAAGTAACCATTTTATTTTCAAAATTTCTTGTTTTAGGGACTGGGGTTATAGCTCAGTTGGTAGAGTGCATCCTTATATGCACAAGACCCTGGATTCAATCCCCAGAACCACAAAAAATTCCTTGTTTTATATTTTTGTAAAAATATTAGACATTTATATCTTTCCTATAGGATTATCTAAAATAATATTATTTGCTCCAGATGAATTATCTCCATGTAGATGTAAATATAGCTATGTATTCTAATTCAGACCTTAAATTTGAACTTTCTGCTTGCATGGAAATTGAAATGAGACATTCTTGTTGGTTTCTGGAGCAATAATTGAATTTTTAATTTGTCTTGTTATATACATTATGATTTCAGAAATTACATTGTAGAGTAAATAAGTACTTTTTGATGGATGAAAGTAATCAGAAGTTAAAAATTTCTAATGTTTACTGAATACTTGCTGACATACTGTGCTCAAAGGGCATGTAGGCTTGGACTTGCTGTATCCAAATACACACATCT